GGTTCTGTGTCGCCATTGTAACAGATATTAGAACCCAGAGATAAAATTCAGAACATGAACACAGCACCCTAATATGACTAAGACAATCGTACAACTGTGAGAACTTGTCTGCAGCCTTCCACTGATCACGGAGACAAGCTTAAAGATGTTTTGCTTCGGATAAACCTGTTCAGGGATGAGCTGGAAAAACACTTTTTCAACTTACCCTTGTACATCCATACAGATATGTACACCAATAGAGTAGCTTGGATCCAACGGGTTGCCATGCTTGCCCAGATTTAAAAACAGATTTACGGCTGATCTGAATTTAGTTTTACCTCATACGTGAGAAATACGTTGTTGTTAGGTGCTGTCCGGTCTGTTCTGACTCCTAGCGGCCAGTGACCTACAGCACCAAGCCCTGCTCTGTCCTGTGCAAATGTGAGTCCGTCGTTGCAGCGTTATATCAATCAATCTCATCAAGTGACTTCCTCTTTTTCAATAGCTTCTCATTTTACCAAGTAGGATGTCCTTTTGCTGGGACCAGCTTCTCCCAATAATATGTCCAGAGTACCTGAGCTAAAGTATCACCATCCTAGCTTCTAAGTAGCATTCTGACAGGGCTTTTTCCAGAAGAGATTTTGTGTGTTCTTCAGGCAGTCCACGGTATTTTCAATATTCTTAGCCAGCACCAAAATTCAAATGCATTGGTCATTCTTTGGTTTCCTTATTCCTTAACCAACTTTCCTATGCATATGAGGTGACTGACAATACTGGCCTTGGGTCAAGTGCACCATAATCTTCACAATGACCTCCTTGATCTTCATCACTCGTGTAGCAGATTCGGTTAATACAGTATGTTTGGATTTTTTTATTGCTGTTTTCATGAGCATTGAGTTTGGATCCAAGCGATATGAAATTCTTGACCCTTTCAATCTTTTCTCCTTTCATCATGATATTATACATTGATCCACTGTGAGGATCTGGTATGCTTTACACTGAAGTATAATCCATACTCAAGGCTGCAATCTTCATGAGCAAGTGTCCTTGCGTTTAGCAAGCAAGGTGAGTGTCACCTGCCTACATAGGTTGTTTATACGCCCTTCTCCAAATTTGATGCCTCATTCTGTATACAGCCCAATTCCACTAGGATTCCAGAAGACAATATGAAATTAAAAGTAGTCATAAAGTACTCGATACATCTTAATTAATGTTCTTTATTTTACTCCTCTAAGTTCTAATATCCGCTGCAATGGTTACACAGAACTCACCACGATCAAGTTAAGTATATTGATAGGATACAATCCTGACACACACCTTTCCTAATTTTAGACCATGCGGGGTTCCCTCGTTCTGCCAGAGCGACTGCCTTTGACTCGTGTCCAGGCTCCACACAAGCACAATGGAACGTCCTGGACTTCTCCTCCTATGTCGGTCACCTCAAATTAGACCAGCTCCACAGAAGTGACTCCTCATTCTAATCACTGTGTGCGTGCTCCTGGAGAGAGTCTGCTTTCACAATTCTGCTCTGTGATCGTGCATAAGGAAGTTAGCCCCGTTTCTTGTTATAGGTGCCGACTCATAACGCTGTGCTTACTAATTATGAGATTATCTCAGGGCATTTTTTTGTCTTGGTAAAATTAAGTTGTGGGAAAAGCTATCTACTAAGCGGGCTTCCTTTCTAGAATTATGCAGAATAAGCACACAAAACAACTCTAAATAGGTGTCTTAGAACCTAGGCCAGTAGTCAAAAGAAGACAGCTTTCAAATGAAGCTCATTGCTCTGATCCCTTACTGCCCTGCTCTGGTCCCACACAGATGGAGCCAAGTGAAAACAGGAGAAAGTCTCCACCACTGGTTACAAGGGGGCTTTTCACACGCCGTATTTCTTCCTTCTAACTGAACTTTGAAGCAGAAACGATCACTTTGTGATTAAGACAAAACCCCAAGACTAAAGAACGACTCACATCCCAGAAGTTGTGCTCCCTTTTATCCCACAAATGAAAATCAGAATGCAATTTTGGACTCATATTATGCAGTTCTCAAATCAATTACATGCTCTCTAATGATTTTACATTCCTGCTTGTACATGAACAACTTTCTTTGATTTGTAAGAGAAATTTTCAGGTTCTTTCTGATCTTTGGGTTCTAATATGATGATCTAGTTGTAGTGAAAAAAATCAATGTTTTCCTTGAAGGCTCTTGATTCTCACCGAGACTTGCCTTAAAGTTGCTATTCCTCTGTAGCGCAGGATAGTAAAGAGTAATGATCAACACAATCTCTTATGATCACATAAGAGATTCCATGATCACTTTCAAAATCAACAGGGGACAAGTTATCTATTACAAGACTAGACCTGGTTGCTATTTATTTTTTTTAAAATAGAATCAGATATGAAAAGGATTATGAACTCAATATTTAAAGACATCCAACCTTTAATTACAGTGGTGAATGAACTTGAAAGTGATCCCAGGAAAGAAACGTTAGCTGGTTGTGCCAAAGGGGGATTTGTTAATTTAGAACAGAATACCTAGAGAACGCTCCTAACTCCAGCCTCCACTGTAAAGTAAACAGCTCTCTAGGCAATTTAATCTGGTGGAATCTTTGAAATGCAGTACTCTGTCAGCAGATGAAGAGAATGACACGCCAACACAGCCCTACCTTCCGTGGGATTCTTGGTTTGGGGAGAAAATAAAACCCCACCTGGGAACTATGAAGAACTCTCTTTACGAACTTGTATATTTTAAGCTGGTAATTAGATTTAGTGATTGATTTTCTGCCATAGGGTAAACAATCTCTTCCATTAAAAAGGCATTATTGCTGTGCACCAATAAAGACGTATTTCAGGATAACATGTCCACATACTCCTAACGATATTCTTATTTCAGAAATGCCTTGATGTGCACTAGTATATACATATACACATACTGTCTCTGGCTTTTCCACACTGAGTATGGGTAGGTAGCTAGAGGTTCTCTAAAATAAGCTTAAAAAATAAAACAGAAAATTCCCTCTCAGACTTGAACTCTTGACAGAGTATCTCTTCCTTCCTTATTCTTTAAGCAGGGAAAACGCCTCTCTCACCTGGGCACCACGTGTAAATTGCCAGTCCAGGTGTCGCGGCTATCTTTGAAGGGAAAATGCTTTCTCGGTATGGAGTGGACTGAGTGCCATCCAAAATCCATTTGTTTATATTTGGGTTATTATAAACAAGGGGGGAAAGTTCTAAAATTGGGGTCCAGTGGAGATAACACGAGCTTTGATACCGCGTAGACTAAGGAGGCTTTGTTTGCACATGCCACCAAATCTCCAGCTATCAGATCCTCGTCAGAAACTTTTATTTCACAAGGCAGTCGCTTAGCCATAGCCAAAAAAAAAAAAGAATTGCGGCTATTCACTGGGTGATTCGGCTTCTTCCTCTCTCTTCAAGTTGGACTGGAAATACTACAAAGAAAATCCTCCCAGCAAGTTGTCCCACACAAGGAAGCCCACAAAAATAGGAGGGAGGTGGCAGGGGAAGGAACAGAGCTTGAAAAATGTGACTTTTTATCTGTACTGAAAACTCACAGGGTTCAAAATGCAGATTGGGGTCATCTCTGTTGACTCTTACTCTGCTCACATCATCTGATTCATAAGAAAAAGTACGTTCAAACCCCACAGTGGAAGCTTTGGAAAATTGAAATACAAAGGCAGGAAGTGACTCAAAGTACAACAACTCAGTTATATTTAGACAGGAAATGCTCGCCATAGGACTCAGCTGATCAGAAACTACGGAAACCTGAAAGTACCGGGAACAGAAACACGGCTCATCTAAGCGGATTTCAGACACATACAGGCCGACCTGACTCTGCAAACCAGACACACTTGAGAGAAAACAAGTATCGCATGGTGGAAAGGTGGAAAATGTCAAATGTTATAATCCATCAGTCTATTTGGCTTGTGACACACATTTTTTGACCTGTTCTTAAAATGAGCCAGAAGAGCCACGGTCTCTCGCCCTTCCCTTCCTCCCACAGCTGACCCGTGCTCACTGCACTGCGAAGGTGGGCATGCCTGTCTCTGAGGCACAAAGACCCTGAAAGCATGGTTCCATCAAGGACAGCTACAAGTAAACGTCATCTCCCGCATCACCTCTGGTAGTGTGTGATGCCATGGCTCAACTCTGAATCCCAGATTTCCCTCCTTCACGTGGGGTTAACAGTGACGTCACAGTTATCGGGAGTACTACACAGGCACCCTGTCTAGTCCACAACGGGTAGGAAATAAATGTGGGGCCAGAGTATTACCCAATCCTCGAAACCACCACCCACAGAAGTGAAGAGGTAGGATGATAATTTTCCCAGCCTTTCAAAGAAGCACAAGGGGCCTTCAAAAACTTGTCGAAAACTGGAATTAAAACACAATGTGCTTGTGCGGGGAAGTGAGGCACTATTGACCATGTGTATGAGAAGACATTGTTCTGGGGGTGACTGTGGTGAGGATTGTACAGCACTTCTTGATAGGATGGAACTACTGAATTCTATGGTTTGTGGATTGCATGTCCATAAAATGGCCTTAAGGGGAAAAAAAAGTCAATGAAATTTTCCCACAAACTTTTTGAAGGCCCTCCTATTTATTTGTGCTAGGTTATTAGAAATGCATTTACACGGTGAGCAGGCAAAGATTGTGATTTCTCCATGCTAAGTTTATTGCTCCAGGAGCAGCACGTGGCAAAAAAGAATGACACTGACAAGGGGCCGGCCAATGAAAGAGCAGAGTGGGAGGGCTGAGGTCAATCTCATCAGGAGGACTCCAAAGCGGTAAGGGTTACAGACCTCAGGAGGGAAATGCAGAGGAACTGCGACCAAGGCAGGCAAAGCAGCCACTATCAGAGACCGGCACTCTGCTGCTCAGAGGTTCCGACTACAGCAGAAGCCTCCCTGCCGGGAGCTATGTGAGTTACTGGAAGGAGCGAATGCATGCATAGATGTTCTTGGTAAGTCATTTAACAACTACAAGGTAAGAATATTATTACACATACCAAGTGCGGAGGCTCATTTATTCCAAGCGGTTCCTGAAAAATATGTTAAAAACATTTTAAAACCTTAGTCATAGCATCTTAATAATTTCAAAAATCATGTACATATTGAAAAATAAAAGGGAAGGAAAAAAAGAAAAAGGGCCTGACCAACTTATTAAATAACCTTGAAGTGGCCATGACCCTCAAAGAACTTACCAAATTGTCTTAAAATAACCTTACTATCAATTGTTTTGAATGAAACTGGAGCTGGAATAAACTCATGGTCCACATGCACCAGGACAATCAGCCCCCACTTCCCACCACTTATTCCACAGTCCCCTATCCCTCTACCTGGTTTGCCCTTCTCGAACCTGGTACTCTCCTCCCCACCTAGGTGACTCTGCACCCAAGATTGCGCCTTCTTTGTTCAATCAATGCCCTTTCTGTCCACCTGCCCTGTCTAGAAAAGCTGCCTCGATCTCCTAAAGACGTCATGCCCTGAATTCCCATCTGTGGCACGGAGCACTGTGTACTCCGTAATGAATTGTCCGTGGGCCACGCTCCCCTGAGACCCAGGCTGTTCAAGGGCAGTCGTCATTGCTGTTTTTCTTAAGTAGCCCAGTGCCTGACCTATCAGAGGCACTCCCTAAATACTTCTTCAATGAATTTACTGATCATATTAAAGAGCCATTTCATGCATGTGCTACTAATACTTATTAGCTCTCCAGGGCCTGCAAGATCCCCCTGCCAAACTGATCCCACTGCCGACCCCCAGGACAGCAGAGGAGAACTACTCCCAAGGGTTCCCAAGCAGCAGCAGGTCTCATCTCTCCACGGCAAAGCAGCTAGTGGCTTTATATTGCTGACTTAGCTAGCGGTTGGCAGTCCAACATGTGAGCCCTCCATGACAGCAGGGCTCCTCCGGTTCTTAAAGAGTCTGTGGAAATTCACACGAAGCTTCAGCTCTACACACACAGGCAGCCTCCTTCACAATCCCACTGGCAATCTTGCTCCTGGTACTCCATAGTCACCTGGCACTGGGTAATCGACATTCCACTCACACTGTACTCACCAGTTGGACAGGTCGTATCGACATGATTATGTTACTTGATCCTCCCCAATCAAAAAAGCATTTATATTTTCCTTTTTCTAAAATGTATTGCTCTCCACAAAAGAATTTCTGCTGGTAAGCAACCCATCTAAAAAAAAAAACCAGAAAGAAAACGATGATGATGCAGAACTGAGCAACCAACAATTAAAAAAATCCAAGAACCTCGGGACGTCCTCAGGGAGGCGGCAACTTACACTCCACTTTTCACATGAATGGATCTTGTTTCACTGCCAAAGCCAATTTCTTCTAAATCAGAAATTTCCTGATTCATAATATCAACAAACTTCCCGCTTTCCAGGTCAGATTCGAACAGCGTGATAGAAGATTCTATAAAATTCTGCAAAGACAGAAGAAAACTTAGGAAAGCAAATGCGCTTCTTTGTTACAGACTGCTCTGTCAGCACCATTCCTACTTATCGGTGGGATGTAGGCTGTAAACAGGTACAAATAGCATTCTATAGTCACAATTTCTGTAGACAGCAATCAACCAGCAACGGCCTGATGAGTTAGTTATTCCTAAATAATTGAAATAACAAAAATCAGCCTGAAGTTACTTTCAATCAAGACGATGCAATATTTGCATATTAATGTTAAACTGACTATATAAATGAAAGTTGAAGGAGGTAAGTCTCTGGGATGACGTGGCTCTCATACTTAACGTTAGTTCTCAGTAGACTGAAGTCTTACTTCTTGGGCAAATGCCACCTCGGCGCTAGTTTATAAGCCTTCCTTCTTAAGTGCTGACAGTTCTCAAAAGAACAGCAGCAGCAACAAAAGCCACGGGGGTTCAATGTATTTCACAGATAACCTTCCAAACACATTTAATCAATGATTGCAAACAGTGTGGTAATTCCTAAGGGAAAAACTGGATCACTGGATCTCACCATAGTCCAAAATTAACCCTATAAAATATAAGTTTGCATTAAGTAAATCATGAGACAAAGACATATACACTCAGCAAGGCAAGAGAGGATATTATTAGCTTTAACGTGTAACAGGAAAAATTAGTAAGATTTGCTAGACCAAAAATATGTGTGTTAAAAAACATTTAAATGATAGGGAATTGTAAACAATCTAGGAATTGATCAATAGTTTTAAAACAAAGATACAAAAACTCTAAATAAATAAATAGGCACAGCATACGGACAAGTCCTAAGACAGAAATGACTGCCATTAAAACAAGTCTCATTCCACTAATAAACCCAGCACGTTCAAATGAAATCAATGACGCAATCACTTTCACTAGTCTAAAAGTACCATATAGCTGAAAACCCACTTTTGTGCGGGAACACTGCTGCTGGGAACATAAACTATCCGCACTTGATCAGAGTCCTGAAAGCAAAATAAACCCTCCGTCTCACTGCCACCAAAGTTCTTCCAACTGCCAAGTGGTTCCAGCTCGACTGCATCCCGAATGGTCGGCAGTTCGAAACCACCATCTGCTCCGTGGGAGACGAAGGAGACGTTGCACTTCCATGAAGAGCTCCGGTCTTAGAAGCCGACAGGGACAGTCGACCCTGTCCTAGAGGGTCACTATGAGTATGATCAGATTAGTAATGGGCACATGATTTTAAAAGATATCGTAGAATAAATAAAAAAAGACCAAAAAAAAAAGCTCATTCTTTGACCTTGTGAGAATTTTCTCCAAGACACTATCGAACCCCAAACCAAACTCACTGCCATCAAGTCGCTGCCAACTCACAGAGACCCTCCTGTGGGCTTCTGAGACAGCAACTGTTTATGGGAGTAAAGAGCCCCGTCTTTCTGCCTCAGAGATGTAGGTGGTTTTGAACTGCCGACCACGTAACAGTGAAAACCTGAAATGAACATCAACTTCCAGAAATGGCTAATGGATTTGGGAAATCCATTACTTGATGGAATATTAAGTAGAATTTTCAGGTTTCTTGACAACCTGACCGTAGATATAGCCAGGAGTTGTGCGCTCATGAAGCTATACTCTTCTCACTCCAGTTTTACAACTAAGGAAACCATGGAACTTGCTGGAAGTCACACAGCTAGGGAGGGAGAGGGTTTGAACTCAAGTCTTAAGTGTTTCCATCTGTCTGTTGATCCTAATTCTTCATCAGTGGCCAGTACAAATGTTAGGGTGGAAAGGCCAGTACAAACACACAAACTTTTAAACACTGGTTACATTACAAGTTAGTAAAAAGAAAACAAATGAAATACTTGGAGAAATAAAAACATAAGAAATTTCTAAATACATGGAAATTGGACCATTTTTAGGCTGAATGTTTTCCCTCAAATGTCTGTAAATGTGTGTACTTCTCTGATTAGAAAATACAGAACACATTTTTAAAATCCACGCCCCACCCACCCCACCCCCACTCTCCCTACAATTTCATTATATTTTAAGTCTTAGACCTATGGAAAATGTTCTGAACCCTTCAATTCTCAAAAAAAATATGAAGCACAGTATTCCCTTTTTAATAGATTATGGATATAATTTAAGAGTAGAATCCTTCCCACCCATCCCCCACACCAAGTCATTTTAAATAAACAAGTAGAGCAGTGTCCAGAAGAGACAAAAAGAACACAGTTTCAATAAGGCATCTACAAGGAGAAGAAGAAAATTAATGTTTTACAGGTCCTCGAATTTACTTTACAAGGAGGCTTTCAAAAATGGAATTTGAGGATGATGGGAATTTTTACATGAAAATTTTTAAGCTTCCTTATACTTATCAATTTTCTAGGTTATGAATACTGCTGATGCAGCTGGCGCAAAATTACATTTGAGATGTTAAGATAAAACAAAAAAGGCTTTTTACCTATTTAAAAGAATTGCTAAAACATTACTGTGTGCCTTCACAATTGCTTCTCAAAGAGTCTAACTTTGGAACCTGAGAGATTCTGACAGCTTCACTACGTTTACATGGCTCTCAAAAAAAACAAGAACAAATAAAAAACTGAACTGGGAAAACTATTCTTCTTTGTTACTGTTGCCTGCTCTCCCTTTCATTAACATTAACACCTCATTCAAAAACGCTTTTGCATCCGAGCTATTTGAGACCCTCTAATCCCTGAGACACAGACGGCATTACTTTCCAGACGCAGAATTCCAGGGTGTAACTGGGTTGCTTTCTAGTTCATTGAACAAAGCTGAGTCAAAGGCACACAAACCTCTCCAGTGGAGCACGGCTACAATCTGGGTGCGTATCAAAAAATCTGATGATACTGAATAGGGACCGCCATCACCTGAGCAGCCTGGACATGCTTCTGCTCCTCACAACTTGAAAGTGCTTGCCAAGCTCAAGGCAGCCTGAGTATCCATGGCTGTGAGGATGTGTGCTGGGGGGAGCCCAGTCCAAGTCCTAGCACAAAAACCATGTGAAGTCAGGCTCCCAAGTTCTTCAGTCATTTGCAATTTCTCCTCTCCCTAGGGTGGTGGCTCTGAACTCACGATCTCTGTTTCTACTTCTGCGCTGGTCACAACCTCCTCTTGGCCGTTAGGATGGTAGAAATGGGTCACACGTGGGACCAGGGCATAGAACAGATGCATACAGATGCATGTGTACATGCCATGCCGTCCTTGCGCACTGTCCTTGTCAAACAGCCTATGCAATGCTGTGATGGACGTGAGAGGGGAGGGGCAAGAACCATATGTGGGTGTGTGGCAGCAGCAATGGGGGTGGGGGCGGGGGGGAAAGGACTGGGGAACTGCCTGTCAACGTAGGTCCCCTGGTAATGACGGAGCCTGAAGTTGAGCAGAGAAAGAGGAGCTCAGTCACAGGGCCCCGTGCCAAACCCAAGTGCTGACAGTGTCTGCCTTCACAAGCACATGCACTCCCACCGCCGGACTCTGTGCCCCTTTCCTGCACCAACATTTCCAGAGACCTGGCTGGAGCAGCAGGACTCTTCCTAAGTGGGATCATCCGCCTGTCTCGTTCCATCCGCTGCTTTTGTTTATTCACCATCTTTCCTGCCCCATCGTTGCTTCTCTCCAGCTTTTTTTTTTTCTTAATTAGAAAGACTTCTTTCCTTTGAAGCCACTCACCTGGATTCATCTTCTCTCAGATCCACCAACATCTACACCCTCCAACATGGCTCATGAGTCCTCCCCAACAAGGTGACCCTGCGGGACAGAGCTTGGCGCCGTCACCAGGAGGAGCTTTGCGGGGTTAACTGGTCACCAGCTTCCTCCCGGGCTCATCTGGGCACAGTACCACTCAGCGTCACACAGACGTAAACAGTGCTCTGTTGCTTGAGAAGGCAGAGCAACAAAGGAAGGATGGCCTGAGAGCTGTATTCCATTTCACTTTTTTTAAAGCACTTGAGCCAACTGAAAACTTTAGATAGTTTAATGTAGTCCCAGGGATAATACTCCCCACTGGTAGGGAAAATGAACACATCGTTTCTTCAAGCCCAGAGATATTCTTAAGGATCAGTAATCTTGATTATGTTTAAAGTCCACAAAAGCCTCAGCTGAGGAAGCCCTGGAGCTCTTGAGCTATGCTCCCCAGCGGAGGACATAATACGAGACCCACTGAGGACCATTACTGTGGGAAAAACAACGGTCGCGACCAGATTGCACCTGGGCTCGAGGTCTGGAAAGAGAACTAACGTCTAACCATAACAAATGGAACTCCAAGGTTAAACGATGCACGCTAGACCTGATCTGGTCTCCAAAATCGTACGTACTGGTTTGTTAGGGTTTTGATTGTACGTATTAGGGGCTATCTCAGAAGTAGTTTGTCATTGGGGGTCACCACCTTGAAGTTGTGGTACATGTTTATTTTTTCTTTTGTGGGGTCTGAAAGCCAGGACCGATGAACCTATAGAGTCAGCAAGTGGAATAAAGGTTTTAGGGGAGGGGGATACAGAGGGGGTGGTGGGGTGAAGGTGTGATGACATTAGGGGTCTATACAGAAAAAGAGTGTTTGGAAACCGATTGTGGTAGCAAACGTACAATTCCGCTGGATGTGACTGAACTGTGGAATAATTTTATATATGTATTAATCCAAAATTAAAATCATAAAGAAATCCAAAGACACATTGACCTCTTCAAAGTGTTGAAAAGGAAGGATGTTACTTTGAGGACTAAGGTTTACCTGACCCAAACCATGTATTTTCAATTGCTTCATATGCATGTGAAAGTTGGACATGAAATAAAGAAGAAAAACAAACAAACAAAAAAGTTAAACAAGTACAAAACTGAGGAAAAACAAGAATTCTCCAGCAAGCCTTATAAGCCAAAGACTGAAAATACCTTAGTACCTAGAGTCTAACTACTGCTGTATTCCTTTTGGTCCTGACTTCTGTCAAATTAATAATAATATTGATAATAAAAAATAAATAAATAATAGACTCCAGTCAATGTATCTGCTGACTCATCTGGAACTAGGAACACATTTCTGGTGTCTGGTGCAAAGCATCTATGACACAGACCACGTTATCTCTAAGGAGCATGTCCGGTATTTGACCTTAGTACACCCAGAATGTTCCAGAGGGAGGCCAAGTCATGGGACAGTGCACTGCAGTGTGCAGCACTGCTGTCTGGCCTCTTGTCTCGTTCATATTACTTCCACTTAGATCTTGTACACAGTGCTCGCTTCCATTGCAGGTTAGAGACAGCTGAGAAATCAACTCTACTGATTAACCCGCATAGGGCTGTCAAGGGGACGGGCTGGCACAGCGGGCTCAAGCCTAACACCTGTGAGGAGGGTGCAGGACTGAGGTCCCTCTGCTGCACACAGAGTAGCTATGCCTCCGAGCACCTCACACAACAACAGGGCTGTCCCAGTCACGAGCGAGTTCTCTAAGCATCTGCTCCCATCTCTATGCTACGTGTGGGGAATGTATAGTTTTTCTAAGTATAATTTGGTAGGCACGTCTTTAAAATAAGTTCATAAGCTAGATAGAAAACTTCACCTTGGATAAATATGTTTAAATTTTTATTTTATGTCATCCGAGAATGTTTCACTGAACATTTAATACTAAGCCACGTCTCTGAGAAGTGTGCAAATACTTATCACATATATACATATTCAAATTAACCGTTGGTTAGATAAAATCCATTTTCCCGGTCTTAAGGTGCTCTTTTAAGTCTACATATTCTGGAACAAAGGAAAGTAAGTATTATCAGGGTCACGAAACATGGATCCTGAGAGACTGAGAGGAAAACATGGAACTGACCTCAGATGACAAAAGAAAAAAACAAACAAAAACAGACCTGCTAGACCATTTGAGACTGGAAGACTGTGACTCTCTTCCCTAACAGAGCACTAGCCCTGTGATGGTCGGGACTCCATCTCTGGTAACTGTATGTCCAATACCCAGCACAGTCCCTCTAACATAGCAGGGGTTCAGAAAGCAATTATGGAATTAACAGCTGACATGTAAACATGCACAGTCACTAATCATCTTGACCAAGAGTCCTCAAACTATGGTCCGCGGGCCACATGTGGCCTGCCAAGGACATTTATCCGGCCGGGTGTTTTTGCCCCGGGTTTTTACTTCAAAATAAGATATGTGCAGTGTGCATAGGAATTTGTTCATAGTTTTTTTTTAAACTATAGTCCGGCCCTCCAATGGATCTGAAGGACAGTGAACTGGTCCCCTGTTTAAAGAGTTTGAGGACCCCCGATTTCTTGACAGTGAAGGAAATGAATGCCAAATACTGTACACTGTATCGCTCTCAGGTGGGCGAATCATCTGATCCTTTCATGTTCTACCAGAGGCCATCACAACTTTTCATTGGCGGGGTGAGGGGGAGGGAGGAGCATACGGAAAATTAAAAATAAGGAAGGGAACTCACAGCTTGTAAGTACCGGAAAGACATGATGGGGCCACTTAGTGCCACACAGGCAAAACCGTCTTCAAAGTCCCCTTCTTCAAGCAGGAATTGGTGGCCCTTAAAATGCTCCTTTTCATAGGCAACCCACCTGGAGAGAGAGAGGCCAGCCAACTGAGCCATGACTCAAACTGCAGTCATGAAAGTCAACAGGAGAAAATCATGAGAAAGCACTTACCTGCTCATCGCCTTATTCTAAAAAGCAAAACCATCTGATTTTGTTTCCATTTACAAAGACAGACAGACAGTGGATGCTTCGCGGATGACTTTGATCATTGCAAACCTTTTCCCATGGAAGGCGTTTAGAACTGCAGCAGCATAGTGCACGTTGAATGTGGGTGGTATTCCAACTCAACGTGGCCACAGCACAGCTTGCCAAGGAGAAATGATGGGCAGCACAAAGGGCCAAGCAGGAATGTTACACACTCACAACATTACGATCAACACATAACTGCTTCTTTTACCAATCCAGTCCTTCCGGAGTCCCAGAATGGCTTCTATTCTAAACACACACTCTGAGTTCAAATCAAAGGATCATCTCATGACATCTAAGACACATTGACAGATGTGTTTACAATGAAAACTGGAGAAGGCTACAGCTGGTATGTATCCTGATGCCAACCCTACATGTATACAAAGGCAACCGTAAATATTTACTGGTGGGAAATTCTGGTCCGACCATGTTATCAGGGACGCTTATGCATACAGGAAACACAGAGACAGAGTCCATTTCAGGGGCAGTTTCTTGACTGCTGATCTAAATCTAACAGCACAGAAGACTGGAAAACGCCATTAGTTATTGATCTCCTCTGTGAGACTCTTTTATATGGAGTAAAACCACAGTACCTAATGAAATGTAGGCAGAGATGGCTTTTAAACACACCTTCCGTTCTTTACTCTGAGTAGTTAGGATGGGAACTCCTCCAATTGCGTAGGTTCCAATAACTATTTTGAGGCCCTGGGCTGGGACTTCTGATTTCAAGAGCTCAAAAAGATAACATCTGGTCGCTAGCTAGCTACTATCCCTTTTTCCCTCTTCACCCACTGCTGTAGTTGTGAGGGTGTAACACATATCCCAAAGACTTTATTTTTTTAAGCTTTTATGGGTCACAAAACATCAAGAGTGGTAGTGTGTGCAAGGCAAGAGAAGATGAGATTTACTTGGGTTGTAATAAACAAACTTTATATACGGGGGCTTTAAAAAAATTCAGAGAAATTCCGTTATCATTTATTTCCGCTCACCCACACACTTTCTGGAGCCTCCCTGTACACCTCAGTATTTTTATTTTTGTTATATCTGTGAAGAGACTGACACTTCACTCACAAACCATTGCTTCTGTCAAAAGAAATGACACAAGAACACTTTCAAATTCTAAGTGTATTTTAAATCAGGCATGCTTTTACGATACCTACATGGGGAAAAGAACACAAAGTACATATATGCTGAGGGCCACAGAAGCTTTACCAGTCACCAAAGCGTAGATGCCAACTCCCGGGCCCTCATCTGTGTCAGAACACAGCTGTGCTCCGGAGGAGATTCAAAAGCTGATTCTTCAACAGATTGCTCAGCCTTTCTCCCTGGGTCATCTCGGAGTGGACTCAACCCCGGGCCTTTGTTAGGGGACGAGTGTGTCACCCAGGAGAGCCTCCCAGGGGTCTTATAAAGGACAGACGGGAGAACCATGATAGGATCACGTGTCCCATCTGTGGAGCATAACCAAAATGATCTGCTCAGTGTTAGTGCTAGAATAAAGTTCTGATTAAAGCTCTGTGCGTGTGTGTATGTGTGTGCATGTGACATATGAGGATTCAGAAAGTTCGTGGGAAAATTCCATTATTTTCCCATTAACTTTTTAAAGCAGTGGCTCTCAACCTTCCTAATGCCGTGACCCTTTAATACAGTTCCTCATGTTGTGGTGACCCCCCCAACCATAAAATTATTTTCATTGCTACTTCATCGCTGTAATTTTGCTGCTGTTATGAATTGGGCGACCCCTGTGAAAGGGTTGTTCGACCCCCAAAGAGGTCACGACCCACAGGTTCAGAACCACTGTTTTAAAGCTCCCGTGAAGGTGCTATCTAAAATTGATTTTTAAAATTCATTTTCTGCAGCCTCCTCACAATTGGACAGGGATGCAGATGAGCCTGCACGATCTACGGGTCACCAACAAAAGTGAGAAATGACACCCCCCCAAAAAAAACCATGAAGCCAATTGTATATTTCTAAATGGACAATAAATGGGGCATTAGATTTTTCTAGAATTGTCATAAAAAATGAGGTGTTCACACTGTATTACAAGTCATAATACTTGTATCAGATGTTTATAAAATAGTTGCCAAAAAGATTCTGGATGTTAGCAAGGAATTTTCTATGTAGCAGACACTAGTTTTAAACCGATCCAGTTAATATGAAAAACACCCAGATTTCGAAAGAGGGCCAAGGCGAAAGTATTTTAATAGGATTAACAAGAAGCATGTGTACTGAGAAAACTAGAGGGCAGCAAACACTAAACATGCATTTATCCAAGTCAGATATGTTCTACAAGTACAAAAATAAATTTCTCATATTCAAGGAAGGATTTTTACCAATATGCCAGATCAAATAAGTGGTATGACTTACACGTCCAGAATATTGAAAATTCTCAACATTTCCACTTTGGATGGTACAGTCATCCTTTGCTTTACTGTTATAAATTTCAACATACCTAACTCCTCACGAATTGACTGTTATAATCTAACATTTCCCATTTATGATTGTTGTAGTTACATAATCTGGTGTCACTTTGAGGATTCAGAGTGAAGGGGTGGAGTTTAGCCTCTCAATCAGATCATAGCTTGATGACCTCATTTGGAGGCACTAAGGAGATAAATGGCTCACTGGAGGCAGGACACACAGAGAGACATCCCTGTTGACAAGCCACACAGAGCTACACTGATAGAGCGAGACCCTGGAGTTGGAGGAGCCATGTGGAGACCCACACCAGTATTGAGATGCTTCTACCACCACTGGATCCACAAGACTTTCCACCCACCAGCTTATGATCTTCCTGTGTTCGGCATTATTGTGTTTCATGAGTCTGAAGAAGAATTTATACATTGGTATCAGACATATGGGCTAATTTCGGACTTATGGACTTGATCTGGACTGGGCTGGGATGTTTTCTCAATATTCAACTGCTCTTGTATATAAAGCTCTTTCTTTTTAAAAATTTAAACATTTATTTTATTTAATGTATTTATAAAATCAAAATTATTCTTTTTTTTAACCATTTTATTGGGGGCTCATACAACTCTTATCACAATCCATACAAACATCAATTGTGTAAAGTACATTTGTACATTCATAGCTCTCATCAGTCTCAAAACATTTGCTCTCCACTTAAGCCCTTGACGTCAGGTTCTCATTATTCCCCCTCCCTTCCTGCCTCCCCCTCCCTCATGAACCCTTGAAAATTTATAAATTATTATTTTTTTGTCATATCTTACACTATCTGACATCTCCCTTCACCCACTTTTCTGTTGTCCAACCCCAGGGAGGAGGTTATATGTAGATCCTTGTAATTGGTTCCCCCTTTCCACCCCACCCTTCCTCCAACCTCCCGGTACTGCCATTCTCAGCACTGGTTCTAAAGGGATCATACATCCTGGATTCCCTGTGTTTCCAGTTCTTATCTGTACCAGTGTGCATCCTCTGGTCTAGCCAGATTTGTAAGGTAGACTTGGGATCGTGATAGTAGGGGGGTGGGGAGAGAAGCATTTAGGAACTAGAAGAAAGTTGTATGTTTCATCGTTGCTACACTGCACCCTGACTGGCTTGTCTCCTCCCCAAGACCCTTCAGTAAGGGGATGTCCAGTTGCCTACAGATGGGTCTTGGGTCCCTAATCTGCACTCCCCCTCATTCACAATGATATGATTTTTGGTTCTTTGATGCCTGATACATGATCCCTTCAACACCTCGTGGTCACACAGGCTGGTGTGCTTCTTCCATGTGGGCTTTGTTGATTCTGAGCTACATGGCTGCTTGTTTACCTTCAAGCCTTTAAAACCCCAAACACTATATCTTTTGATAGCCAGGGACCATCGAAAGCTCTTTCTTATACACCTGAGTATCTACAGATTTGTTTCTCTAGTTTACTCAGACTGACACAGTGACCATAGTAAATCTACGTACCGGTGAATAATGTTAGAGGCAGGTAAGCAGTCACTACAGGAGCGGGAGCAACCCCAATAGGTGGCTCTTGGTGCCTGAACAGCATTTGGCCAGCAAGGTTTAACCTATAATAGCTGGCTTGGTCTTTGGACCCTTACCGTTTCAAAAAATGAGTAGGTGTGTAGTCCATTAGTTCACCTTAGGTGAATCATCTACACTATATACATAATTTAGTAGCATGTTTTTGCTAGATCAGAATGAACAAATTAGCAGGTGTTAGAACAACATCAAGAGGTAATGATGCTTAAATTGAGAAAAAAACAAACATTCCAAATAAAACCAACATCTCAAGACAAAGAGCAAAATGTTTCTGGAGCCCAACACTGGTTTGAGAAGGGCAAAAAATAAATAAATAACACTGCTTCTCCATGGTTTTACCTTCCTTTATAAGACTCCAAAATCACCCCACAGATTTGCTGGGGTTGATGCCTTGCCTAAGTAAATGCTGAGAGAGACTAGGATGGCAGATTACGATGGCTTTGTTAGGAGGATGTGTACACAAATGGGAATGTTCGGGGGCTTTCCCAAGAGCAGTTCAGAGCAAGGGTCCAATGATTAGTTCTTTACTTTGGAAACATACATCTCAGGCTACTTTCTAACTAGGGAGAGCCTTCAGCACAAAGGGGTGACTAAGAGCCAAAGAACAGAGGAAGAGGTGGTGCTGGAGAGAAAAAGTAAAAACAGAAAAAAGTGGAAAACCAGGGGCTCTCCTTCATTCACAGTCTGTGAAAATAACATCACCTTACAATTATTTGCCTTTTATACTGTATTTACAACTCTTACGTGGGTGGAGCTCTTATGAACCATCTTCCACACTAAAAACCATCACGGAAAGTCATGAGAAAAAAAATCATTTTTGTCTTCTAGGTTAAATGAGATTGCTATTTTCAGATTAAGAGAGACTGAATTTTGCTCTGCCTACCATATTTTGTGTGTGTTGAGCTTTAAAACTAGACTACTGAAAACATTTAAATGATGACACTCACACGCCACCGATGACACGAATTGATCCAATTCCATGAAAATTTTCCCCATCGTTTTTTAAAAACTTAGGAACAGAATCTATATGTTCACTAAAATCCTTGGCCTGTCCACAAAAGTGCGGTTTCTCATAAATAATAACCTGAAAAACAGTTCAGAAAAAGTTTGCATTTTATAACAGTTACATACTAACTTACATAAGTTTTATTAAAGACCATAAAGAGAATAGGAACCACTGCCTTTTCAGCAATATGTACCTTACAAAGTAACTCAGCATGAACAAAAGATTAAGAATATATTAATTAACATGTTTCTCTTACGTTAGTACACTCACAGAATATTGTTGTTCTGGATGCCCAAATTGCCCAAATCCCACTACCACTTCTTAGGATAAACTGCCTTATAATTTGTCCTTGAACTATCTTGATAAGTTCATCCCTGAATTTGAAATTTAATACATATCTGCCTTGTATCTATTGAGTTTCCTACCATAAGATATAAGAATTCTCTTGAGATATAAGGCCTATCAATATATGATTCATTAATTTGAGAAAACACGTGGTTTTAATACTAACTGCTTATCCGGTTGTTAGTATTCACTGAGAAGAAACAAGACATTCACAATTTGAATTTAAAGCTCATTAAAAATAATAACTGAGAAATGTTTTGTTTTATACTTTAGATATTGAGTTGAAATGGGTTACTCGGCAGGAAGGGAAAGATCATTGCAGTCTTCATAGTACATTTATTTCTATTTGGATTGGTACAAGTATTTCTCTTCTATTGTTTTGCTGCTCTTCCCTTCCCAAGCACAACTTCCATTCCCTTAGTGTGTGAAGCGGTAACAGTGACAACAGTGCTACCCTGCATACACTTTTTTACTCGGTCCTGTTTATAGATATGGGCACAAGTGGACAACAAATGACAATGCATGGCCTAGGCAGCATTTCCCGAGGTGGGAGATAATGCCCCCTGGGGAAAGGGTGTTGAACCATCCAGGGGCTGCAAAAGCAGATACCTACACTTTAACCAGGATTATGAATGATCGTGCAAAAGGTTTAAATTGCCTAGGGGAATACTGAGTTTTGTTTTGTGAAAAGAAGGTGCCATGCCAAATAAGTTTGGGAACCTATGACCTAGACAAGACCCCAGGCTTAAACACACTGGCCAAGCCAGACACAGCTTCTTCAGAAAAACCGATTATCAGATACACAGCTGGAAAGAAATATACAAGCTTAAGTAAAAGGTTTCCAGACGTCCATGCACGGGTTTATTGAAAACAAAACGTGCTTAAACGTGTCTCTGTGATAGGAGGGACAGCCACAGACAAGATCGCTCAGTAGCTGACTGGTCTTATTCTGGTTCTTGGGTGCTGTCCGGTTCTCCCAGCACAGTGACCCTATGTACACTGCCCAGTCCTGGGTCATCCTCACAGCTGCCTCTATGTTTGAACCCACTGATGTAGCCACTGTGTAAACCCATTTCATTGGGCACATTCTCCTTTTTCACGGACCCTCTCCTTGACCAAACATGTCCTTTGCCAACAACTGCTCTCTCCTGATAATATGTCCAAAGCATGTGAGATGGCAGTTTCCCCATCCTTACTTCTGTCCTTCTTCCAAGACAGATTTGCTTGTTCTTCTGGAATTTCATGGCACTTTCCATAGCTTTTTGCCAAATCCATAATTAAAATTCCAAAGAGCTGCTTTGGTTTGGAGGACAAGACAAGGAGAGTCCCAGGGTCTGCATACTTGCCTCTGGGGGTGTTCTGACTCAATTCACAGAAGCTTGTTGTCACCTTTGATCCTCTCTCTTTTTATACTCACCACTAACTCATTGTTCTCCTTTCTTTCTTAAAATGCACTTAATCAGAGTCCCACCTCCACCTACTTGCCTCTGTTCCTCTCCTTTTCAGATTTGTTTATCTGAAAAGAGCTTCCAACACCTCCTTCTGTCAGCCTTGATCCCCCTCTGAGGCATCACTCCCCAAAGTCTCCTAGAAAACTCCAAAGGATTTCTGCCATCTCAAGCCAAACACAACACAAACCAACTTTATCATCATTTCTCCTTAGGGGATTGGGTTTGTCAGAGTTGTCCAGAGAGATGTGGACTCCATTTTCCATACTGACTCCACTCCCCATTTATAGCCATAAGCAACCATTTGCTACAACCATTTCCCAACAGTCCAATGCCCATTAGCTAGGTACTATTTTTTTTTAAATCATTTTATTGGGGGCTCGTACAATTCTTATCACACTCCATCCATCCATCCATTGTGTCAAGCATATTTGCACATTCGTTGCCACCATCATTCTCAAAACATTCTCCTTTCACTTGAGCCCTTGGTATCAGCTCATTTTTCCCCTCCCTCTCCCACCCTCCCTCCTTCATGAACCCTTGATAATTTACAAAAGGTAATATTTTCATATAGATAGGCAACACTTATTTATTTTTAATTTTAGTGACTCCAAACCAACCTCAAATTCACTGCCATTGAGTGGATTCCAACTCATGGCCCTACAGGACAGCGTAGAACTGCCCCTGTGGGCTCCCGGGGTGGAAACTCTTTAGAGGACAGAAAGTCTCATTTTGTTCCCGAGGAGCAACTGGTGGTTTTGAACTGCTGACCTTGAGGTTAGCAGCTCAATGCGTAAGCACTACACTATGCCACCAGGGCTCCTCTTTCAGTGATTGAATTTGCCTAAAAATTAGTAGTACAAAAATTAGGTTATCACAAAAGCCTGTTTAAGACTTACCTTTAGGTTCATAGGCATTTCCACTTTCAGTCCACCCTGGAGATGAAAAGAAATGTAAATATTAGATATGTAAATATTTTAAATCTCTGAAAATCAATTAGGTGTGTAGGTAATAAGACTGTCACAGTAGTGACAACAACTTAGCAGTCAAAGTGAACAGGCCTCTAGCATAGGTAGTCACAATCAACTCAAACTGATCTATATGAATGTGGGTGTCGAAAGGCAAGAAACCCTAGTAGACATGTCCCAGCTTACAACTGCTGCGAGGAAGGCACTCACTGTTGTGTGTTCAAAATAGAACGGGTTTGCCAGCCCATTTGGAAACCCCATGTGGGAGGGCAGATTTCTAAGTTACTTCGTAGCATTTTCCCTTCTTTCTTCTCTACCTTGGAGAAGCACGAAGCTAACCACCCTTCCTGTTCCAACTTGTACTTTTGATTACACGCCATGGCCTGTGAGACCTCCGAATGGCACAGAAGAAAAAGCAGCCCAAGCACGGGGTTCCCTGCAGTGGTTGCGGAACAATCTGAAGAGCGAGAACCACAATGACCCCCCAGCACGAAGAGTCTAAGCAACGGCAGCGGATCACACGCACACACGCTGGTGAATTGGTGAATCTTTTTGCCAAAATGGAAGAAAAACATCACAGGAATAACAATGAATACGGAGAAAAAGAGTGTGTTCTAAAATTGATTGTGGTAAAGATGGCACAACTCTTCTTGATATGGTTGAACTATCGAATTATATGATATGTGGACAAAGTGCCAATAAAACTTATAAAAAAAGCAGCCCATCCTCATAAAACCCTAATTCTAGAGTTTTCTTGTTCAAATGACATTCCACACTGGTATTTCTTAACATTTCCCCCTTTTTCCTGGTTTATGCTTTTAAAAAAAAAAAAAAGGCACAAATGACCAAAATTGATGTATTCAGTGTGATGATTCCTTAATATTAGGTATCAACTTATCTAGGCCATGATTCTTAAGTTTAACAGAGCTTTCAATTCTTCATCCAAGTGGTCATTTTCTTTTTGCTAAACCGTTTTATTGGCATTTTATCCACGTCATACAATTTAGTAATTCAATCGTATCAAGAAGAGTTGTACAATTGCCATCATCTTCAATTCTAGAACATTCTCCTCTTCCTTGTAGTCACTGATATTCATGTAGGGCCAAATCTGACCTACAAACCCTGGAATTTTCAGGTTTTCACAAGCCTAGGAGCCAGCATCCTTCTGCTTCCCCTGCTTACGCTAAGTTTATCAGCACCTGCAGCCACACGAGTCATGACCTGATACCTGACCCATCCAGGGATTTAGGACATGCCAGTTTCTGCAACTCCATGAAGTCATTTGCTTGAAAGTGCCGTATGCACACGTGTGTGTACTATGTGTGTGTAGATACGTGCACATACATAACATACTTTTATCTGTATTTCATTGATTTTGCTCCTCAAGAGAATGCTCTGTTTGCCTAACACTTACAATGTTAAAACGGTTTGGAAATGACTAAAAGGGGGAAACTGAAGTTTTAAAGTGCCTAACAGTAAATATTTAGATGCTTTAAGGGACTGTTGGTAGCATTATGGTTCCTGAAAGCCATTCTGGTGAAGGCTCAAAAGAAAGTAGGCTGAGTTCTAAAGTCTTCATAGTCTTAGAGACTACATGTGGCACCAGCAACAGGTTTAGGAATTGTTGTTGAATAAACTAAGGGTGCCTGTCCTAACATGTTCACTAGGGACATGGTTACACAAACTGTTGTGAAAGGTATTAAGTCTGTGACCAATAGATCTACCCAATGACACAGCAGAAACCCAGCACCGTACACTGAAGGAGAAAGAGCAACAACAAACAGAAAGGACACTGCGTGCCTCCTGGATTAGTGCAGGTGAGACAGGTGAAGGAAGTGCGTTTGCTGCCCTCCACGTGTGGAAAAGAAGAGCATCAACAGAACTAGTGGAAGGAGCACCAGGCAGGGAAACCAGGGCTACCTTGGTTCCAAAGGTGAGGCCATGACCTCTGGAGTCTCCAAGGAAGAGGCTACAGTATCCTAGGTTTCAAAGAGTCAGGTCTTCATCAACTCAGTTCTGGAACACAAGGCTGCCATTCAATTGGACCAAGAGGAGAAAACTACGGCCTAAAGTCGAAGGGCAGGGCTGCCATGCCAAATTGGGCAGAAGAATGGAGTCTTCTGGGTTGAGGTTGCCACTGAGAGGGACTAGGAGGATGAGGCCACCCAAAGCTCAGGGAGTAGAGTTGTCATCCCTGTAATAGAAAGGTGGGCTAAAGACAAGGGCTGTAGGGCTTCCACCTGAGTACTGATGGTAGGGTTACTGCCCAGTTGGTCTCAGAAAACAAAAAGTTATTTTCAAGCCTTGGGAGCTAGCATGAATTGGTCTGCTGTGTTTGGGGCTTGCTCCATTGCCTTTATCCTTTCTTTTCCTCCAGCTTCTCCCACTTGAAATGGAAACAGCTGCCTTGTGCTTATTCCACCATTGTACTTCAAGAACAGTTAACCAGTAACCAAGACGCCGGTGGTTCACAGATGGAAGAACTATGCCCTGCAGATAGAGATGAAATATGCCTAAAGTCGAATTCAGACTTGATTTAGATGATTCAGAGGTGGTATTTGGACTTAAAATACTTGAGATGAAGTGACTGGATGCAGATATTTTACACTAGAAGGACATGAGTTTCAGGAGGTCAACGGGTGGCATGTTATGGACTGAAATGCATCCCTCCCCAAAGTTATGCTGTCAATCCTAAACTCTAGGACTGTGGTTATAATCTTATTAGGGAATAAGTTTTCTGTTAGTACAGGGTGTGTTTTGAATCAATACAAAAAATATTAAACAAACATGCAAAAAACCAAACAAACAAAAAAGCAGAGATGGGAGAAGAGAGATGTCCAGCCACACAAAGATGGCCCAGGAGAACTGCAGAAGCAGCTAGTGGGGCGGTGTTCCCGAGCCGAGAGAGAGAGAGAGAGAGAGAGAGAGAGAGAGAGAGAGAGAGAATATGCCTTTCTCTAGAGTTGGCACCCTGAATTTGCACTTCTAGCTCCCTAAACTGTGAGGAAGCAAATTTCTGTCTCTGAAATTTCTGGGGTCTTTCTGTGATAGCAATCCTATGCAGACTAAGATGTCATATTGGCAAGCATTTAATACATTTTCCCTCTGGTTGCTACAACACAGCCCCAAACCACTGCAAGCACACACTATATCTTTAAAATTAAGTACTGGCCGAACTATCCACTCTGGAATGCCAAACTGATCATCAGTAACCAAAATAGAAGAACGTGATTTACTACAAATCATCTCTGAATAGAAATCATAAGACAAATTCAGAACTTACTCTAAATCTGTACAGAACAGTATTAATAAGGAAACACTTCAAGTATTGTTAAGTAAACAAGTAAACTTGGGCCTTTGTAGTCTAGACATTCCAATACAGAAATCGTTATTGTGATTAACCCTTTGTATTTAAATGTGCTTACCATCTGAAGTGGATGCAATGATTTCATTTCAGTTGCTGAAATCTCAAAGAGTCCATGGTTTTCCTCTAAAACTGTAGCTTGTCCCTTAAAATTGGTGTCTGGGTAGGCAAGCCACCTAAACAAGAAATAAACGGTTAGTATAACAGTAGGGCTGTGGCACTTTAATCGAGTTATCTAAGAGTAAAAAAGAGTTACCACAGAAAAATAAAAATAAAATCCCAGTCATAGAATTACACTAGTAAAACACAATCCAAAGTGACAGCCGGCCAGCATATCCAAACAAGCATTAACATGCTGCCAAGTATTTACATCCAAACACCATCTAGCTTTTATATGCTTCTCAAGTTCTAGGCATTATTGGTCTTAGAATTTCCAATGACTAAAAGATGTGAAAACTTAAATTCAAACCGATTATTGGGGGGGCGGGGGGGACACACCAAAAAACCACTCTTACTCTATTCCCTTCTTTGTTCAAATGGGGCAGAGGCAGGGATTCCATTAGGCACTTGACATCTCTGACCCTCATTGTTAGAACTGATTCTCAGTTCTAGTGGCTGCCTTGGGGACAGTGTTTGAAATAAGATTCTCAGAAGACGGTTCTAGCTCTCAGATAATGACAAACATTTCTCAAGGGCAGGGTCCATTACTATGTTTTCCCAAAAGTTCTAATCAATGGTTGGGGATGAGAAGAATGATGTTTGACAGTGACCTCAAAATCCAACATTCACTATCAAAGCAGATAAAACTGTGCAAAATGGAAGAAGGGTCTCATGTTGAACCCAGAACGTCACAGGTTTTTGTGACCTAAGACAATCACGAGGAACTATGCCGAGTTATGAGGTAGACCCATACGCCTAAAGGTATCTTGGGAATGAATCATACATGCCTGGGATCAAATCTATACTTGCCAACGGGGAGCCTGAGGCAAACTGCGGAATTTCCTCTTCTATAACATGAAAGTAACACTACCTGCCTGGCAGGAACTGAGGCGTGGGCAACACAAAAACCGTGCATTTTAGTCAGCACTAAGTAAGCACTCAGTAACTGTTAGCACTGAGAAGTCCTGGCAAGAAGTTAGCCTAGAGAATTCTACACCAGGACCTGGCTTTGTTTCCGAGTCATGAACTGTGATGAACAGAGGATGGATGCATCTATCAAGAACTCAGTCCTCAGAATTTTATCCCTGTCTCTGTGAGTCATCCATCAAAGCCCTAATTGGATCCGAAGAAAGAGAGAAGCTATTTTAATCCCTGAAACAAGCCTTCCCCCGGCTTCCAGGCTTAGAAGTATAATTAACTAATGAGAATTTCAGAAAAAGGTTTGTCGCCTATTAAACTATGAAAAAAAACGCACAACCAACTTGGGCAGTCATCAGTCACGGCTATAAGGACAAGCTGATACGTACACTCCTGCCTTCACAGTGAAGGACACAGACTTGGGGATGTTCAGTTCTTCCAAGTCGGGGACCGCGCGCTGGATGTAGATCGGGCAGCGTGCTGGGTCGGACTGGGGACAGAGCTCTATCTCTGGAAGGCTGCAATCCTGGAGGGAAGAGAGAAGGGCTTTGAAACGATCCAGAAGCACACAGCGCCTGCATTCCCCACGCTCTGGCCAGCAGTTACAATTGTTCTCATTGTTCCAACGCCTCCCAACATAAAGGCAACACTGTTTCTACCTAACCAGTCTTTTTTAAAGACAGAATTTCTCTAAGCCGTCATGTTGAGAACACACAATATCATTGATGGAAAAGGTACTGCCACCATCCTCGGTTTTGTTTTTTAAAGACTATTCCGTTAAGCAATGGTCAGAGCTCCAATTCTATGTGAGTGCCAAGTGCCGGTAAGCCTTCCTTCTCAGAAGCAAAACAAAGCCATAAAGGAGGAAGGGAGTTAAATACAAGCTGATCTCATGGGGGACATAAAAAACAAATAATAGAGAAGCACAGCGCCCTCCAAGTGTTGACCTAATATACACTGACAAAAGGAGGAGGAATTTGAGGTGAGGGTGAGGGAAATCTGTTTTCCTACTTATGGGGGTGGGTTTTTCGTGTGTGTGTGGAGGGGGGTGTTGGTGCAAGTTTGTCCAGAGTTGAAATTAAGAGTTGACATTTGCTCCTTTACTCACCTATTCTTAAACATTCAGTATCCACTATCACTATTCAGTATCCTGTCTCATTTCCTGTCAAAGTTTCGCGTGTGGGCGTCCCTGGGTAGTACACACAGCTGATGCACTCGGTTATGCACCGAGAGGCTGGAGGGTTGAGGCCACCCAGAGGTCCCTAAGATCAGCCTGGCAATTTGCTTTAAAACAACAAATGAAAACCCAGCCGTTGAAAATACTATGACAACTTGGATGATTAATTGGTACATCGCTGTGACTTAATCCTGCTGACATCGACCCTGGTTGGCCCAGACGACAATGATGAGTATAGGCAAGAGCTGGTGACTTAAGCACTAGCTACTGCTCATACCACCCCACCCCACCCCAAATAAACCAACCAACCCCAAACCAAACTCCCTGCCATTGAGTTGGTTGCAACTCATAGCAACACTATAGGAAGGGCAGCCTGGAACTGCCGTTTCGGATTTCTGCTTCTGAACTCTTTATGAGAGAAGAAAGTCTCGTCTTTCTCCTGCAGAAAGCCTGGTGGTTTCAAACTGCTGACCTTCTGATTGCAGCCCAGTGTGTAACCACTTTTTATACCACTGTACTTAAGACACTACACTTGGCTTAACAACGCCCTAGAGCAGTGGTTCTCAACCTTCCTAATGCCACGACCCTTGAATATAGTTCCTCATGTGGTAGTGGCCCCCAAGTGTAAAATTATTTTCGTTGCTACTTCATACCTGTCATTTTGCTACTGTTATGAATCGGTTTGAGAACCACTGCCCTAGAGCAATAAATTCACAGGGGGTTTTCCCCCCAACAGTCTCACAGGCATATAATTCACTTATCATAAGACTTAATAGTTCAATCACATCAAGAAGTGTACAGTCATCACCGCAATCTGTTTTTGAACATTTTCTTCATTCCTGTACTCATCATGATGAGCTCTTGGTTATCCTTGTACCACAGGGCTCCACATCAACTTCTCATAGCCCTTCAGCAACACTATCTCTGTGCTATCCCCACTCCTCCTCTGGTCTACATACCTTCCTTCTACTACAGAGATGCTACTCTGCATGTCCACTAAGAAAGCCTACTTATACTCATATTCTAGTTCAAAAAACACCTTGTGGCAGTTATGTAATTTGTCAACTTGAAGATATATAAAAGTGTCGGTGTGATGTTCAACCTGTCAGTCAGGTCGCAGCCTGGTGGTGCCTCCTTGTGGGCGTGGCCTTCTCATAACGAGGGCCCTGGGAACCTCCCCTCCTCTCTCTTCCTCCACCTTTCTGCTGGCTGACCCTGGTTGCTGCCAGAGCCCTGCAATGTTACCACCGCCATTGGATTCACACAACTTTGCACCCACCAGCCTGTGATGTTCCGGCATTCTGCATCACTGCATGTGGCTGTGTGCATTTGAAAGGGGGCTTACAGACTAGTATCGGACTTACGGATTTGAGTTGGACTAGGCTGGACTGTTTTCTTGCTATATAATTACTTCTTGATACAAAGCTCTTTCTTACACCTAAATGAGTGTCACTGGATTTGTTTCTATAGTCAACCTGGCCTAACACACACCTTATCCTTTCTTAGGCCCTCCAAACCATAATTGTTTTTCCCTCATCTGAAATTAATATATTTCTGCCTGGACACGGAGTCTATCACCGTACTCTTTACGTGTATAATTGAACAACTCACGTTTCAATAACATCATTCTCACCAGTCACATTCTGAAATCCCAATGATTAAGTTTTAAATAAAGAGGTAAAATGCTTTAATAATTAGAGTGGCATTTATTATAACCTGAATATTTCTTATTATAACAGCTTATACTTTCAAAACTGTAACTTTCTGATTTCTATTAACCTTTCTCCAGACAAATTCCCAACATCCTTATTAAGTTTCAAACAGAAAGCAAATCTGTATGTCTTATTTTCAGAAAATTCATTCTAAAATGCAATATATTGAAGAAGCAGAGCCTAAAATATCCTTTATAACATAAAAGTGTGTTTCCTTCTAAGGCTTCGTCTCAAACACAGGCAGAAATATCACCTGCTCTGGGTGCAAAGCTCTTTTGTTAGCCATTCATAATAGAGTTCTAGTAACATGATGTAAAGTGCTGCTGTATTTACGTCCCCGGGGGATGGGAGGTTCAGCAACAGAACACATAGCGCAGTGTCTCACACAAACAAGTTTCCTTTGCATTGTTGTACAAACAATGTTTGGGTGGTGTACTTTTTAAAAGGAAAAATGCTAGGAGGCATTCCATTCCACAACCCAGATGGAAACAGCACAACAGCCAAAGCATAATGATGCCTATAATATCTAACAGAAGAACAAGAATGCCCCGGTTCTCAGGTATCTTTCTAGAATCCCAACCTCTACTCTGGTAGTCTGCAAAAGAATTGCTGATAAAGTCAAAGGAGAGCTGTTGTAATATTCTTATAGTCAAAGTGCCACAGCAAGTGAAGGGTATTTTATAATAGCCGAATGACAACAACAAGTTTGCTGCTGGCTAAGTTTCCTTGGCTTCCTCCTCACAGACTTTTCTAGCCCTGCTGTTCTTCACAAATACACCCTAACTAAATCTTCGAACACTGACTCTTTAAAACAATTAGTTGGAATGCAGATAAAGGTAGTTTTTGGTCTTTTAGGTGGCGACATTTCAAAAAGTTTATGGTAAAGATACGATTATCTTTTAATTCCATTTTCCCACAAGTTTTTGAAGTCTCCTAGTATTATATTGTCCCCTGTGCCTTAATTTTTTAATACATAAAAACATAAGCACTAGTTTTTCTCTGGGCCACTACACTAGTTATAAAGTAACCTAAAATGAAAACAAACTACTCAGCCCAAAATAACGAACAAAAGGAATAGGCAAGAGACATCAATGGCCATTTCGAGAACAAAAGCAAGCGCAGACAACAAGTGTTTAATCTCATTAATAATAAAGTCAATGAAAATGGAAGTCGCAATATAAGACAGACACCATTCTAAAACCACCAGATCGGCAAAATTGAAGAAGCAGGTCAAATTAGGAAGAAAAGGAACTCAATGGAAGAGAGGGAAGGAGGTGCTGGTGGGGGAGAGGGTAGGCCTACACAACCACCCCACAAGACCCGGCAATTCTACTTCAACAACTCCAAACCAAACTCACTTCTACCGAGTCACTCCTACTCACACTCACCCTGTAGGCCAGCGCAGAACTGCCCCTGTGGGTTTCCTAAACTGGAATGGTTTACAAGAGTAGAAAGCCTGATCTTTTTTCTACCGAATGGCTGATGGTTTTGAACTGCTGACCTTGAAGTTGGCAGCCTAATGCATAGCCCTCTACCCCACCGTCCTTAAATCCCCATCTCTTGCATCAAGTCCATTCTGACTCATAGGGGCCCTACCAGACAGGAACTGCTCTGTAGGGATTCTGAGACCATCCATCTTTCTGGGAGCGGAGAGTCTTTTCTTTGTCCTGCAGAGCAGCTGTGGAATCCACTGCACCCACAGGGCTCCTTCGGAGAGAGAACAACGGTTCTCTAAACAGAATCCTCTGACCAGCAGCAGCCGACTCCCCCTGGCACTTGTTAGAAATGCCTGTTCTCAGGCCTCACTGCAGGCCCCCTAAATCGGAAACCCTGCACTTGGGGGTCCAGCAATCTGTGTGATTCTGATATTTGTTCAAATCTGGGGCTGCTGAGCTTGGGAACCTTAGGCACTGCACAGAGGGACATGAGCAGAATGTACACAGCAACATTTTCTGTGGAAATAGCTCAAAGCACCCCATATGTCAAGAAAAGAGGAAGACAAGGGATCTTGCTTGAATCAAATACTGGAGAGCAGTAAACGTGAATGGATTTCAGACACAGAACAACAATGTGGCTGAATCTCAGAAACAAAAGCTAGGCCAAGCAACTAGCAGCAGCCAACCCAAGTCCCATTTCTAAACAGTTCCCAAACAGGAAAATCCAGGCAGTAAACATACATTCGACACAATGGCAAAAGCTAGGTAACTTAGAGTAAAAACAATGGCGGCCTTGGGGGGAAAGAGGATAAACATACCAGCAGTGCTCTCTTTTTATTCTTGATTACGGATGCATGTATGTTCACCTTACCGTCTTTTATGGCAGGTATGCCCTAAATATTTGTATTCATATTAAGTATGTACATGTGACAGACTGAATGATAGGTGCTGAGGGGGCCACAGCATAATTCGCTGGCCGGAGGCAGCTGGACACTGGGTGCTTCTGCAGAAGAGGGAGAGCGGGTGAGCATGGGCACAAGTGAAGGAGATCAACAACTACAGGTAGGGAACAGCACATTCTAAGAGGAAGGTGTGGTGTCTGTGAGCACTTCTTGTATATCCTGTTGTCAATTTTTACATCTGCCTCCCTTACTAGACTGTGCACTCCTTAGGGCAAGAACTTTCCTTTCTTCCTTAGTCC